TAAACAAGCTTTCTGCTCACCACAGGAGTGAATAAAGTGGAGCACAAACCAATAATTATCAAGATAGACTCATTTCCTCAGAATGCCTTAAGGTAACAGGGTTTGTTTATGTTTTCCAAAGATCCCTAAATAATGGACGTGGCTTTTGTTAAAAAACGACTCGTCTTCATAGAAGATGGACTGGATGTCCTGAAAACCGATCGCCCACACGGCCCAGCCAGGGATGAGACGTGGAACTCGGTTTGCTGGTGGGATGCCAGATGATAATACGAGGTTGCCAGGCACCCCACAGGCTGTGGCGTTTGGTGGTTAAGAGGAAGTCCGAGAGGCACTGCAGTCCCCTTTCCCCTGGACCGTGAGCGAGACGCACCCTCAGCAGGCCCTCTCTGGGGTTCAGTGTCCTGGGGAACACTGGGGAAGTGCAAGACTTTCAGAGACGCCGCGACCACACGCGCACCCCTGCAGCCTCCTCTTTGGCAGGGCGGGGCCATTACCTAATTAAGCAAATCGGCGAGGAATTCTGTATCCAAAAGGTGGACCTAGTCACATGTGGCACAGTGGGGCTAGCCCAGAAAAACGGCGGTCCAGCCCCCCTCGTCGTCCTGCGCTTGCTCACCGCCTTCTGTTAAAGGGCAGGTTCTGATCTGTAACGTAACCTACTGTGAAGCATGTCTCTATACACGAAGTAAATACTGCAAATAAAACATTAGTCCAGACAAAAAAGCAGTAAAGGAGAAAAGTCAGTTCTGGAGTCGTCCCCCAGGGCTGCCTCGTATTTACTGGAGTTAAATCCCACTTTTTTTCTTCCAAAGAACTCAAAGCAGCTTCCACTGTTCACCTCCTCCTGCTTGCAATCTTATTCCCATAACAACAACCCTGTGAGGTAGGTTGGGCTGAGAGTCTGCAGCTGGCCCAGTTACCCAGTGGGCTCCAGTACAACCCAGATCACTGGCTCCCAGTCCCGCACTTTTAACCCCTGCACCACACTGGCTGTCTTCTTACCATACACGGAAGTGAGAAAAGATTCTGCTTGGAGATGGCATCTCATTCTCATTTTTGGTGCCGGGGAGAGCAACCTTAATCCTTTAGGTTGGAGAGCTATGACATCGGAGCTTCTTAGATCCCACAAGCCCTAGAAGGAACAAAATTCCTTCTTTTGTCCATATTGCCCCTTTTTGAGATATTCATGAGATATTAGCAGATCTATTTTTTAAAAAAAATATACATATTTTATTCATTGCCTTTTGGAAGAACAGATTTCAAGCTTCTGGAAATGTTACCTTCACACTGTTGTTCCAGTTCTTCACTACACTGTAGATATGTTAGAGAGAATGGTACTTTGAGCTCATTTTCAAATCATCACTCATTTTGGTTAAGCAAGATAAAATGCATTTAATTTAATATTTGGGATTCGCCATCCATCATCTTTCAGCTAACTACATCCTGCACGATTCCTATCTGTTTGGACTCCAAGTCCTCTTGTGCAGATGACAAAGAATGAATAACAGTGTGACTTTAGTCTTCAACAGTAACTGGAAAACAAAATGCGTTTCTTCATTTGAAACAGTTCATCTCAAGTGATCGGCCTGGTTTAGAGTCTATGTGTACATGATGAACTCCATTCAACTAAAAAGGAAAGGGTGAGGCTCCCGTCAGGCACCTCCCAGCCCTGACGCTTGCGCACAAGTGGAGGCTGGCTGAGAAGAACCTTCTGCAATGCTGCTCACGTCCACTTCGATGCATCCATCCCGCTCAGCGGCGCCTGGAGGGGCCGGTGGCAGGTCGCTCTGTGAAGGGACAGCGCTAGCGTCCGGGGGCAGCCAGATGGAGCTCAGCAGAAAGAGGTGAGGGTTCACAGGAGCGTCCCTGTGTTGCTCCACTGTGAACTCGGGATGGCTCACTTCTCCTCCCCTCCACAACCACCACTTGGACCGAGCATCTGAGACTGGCCCGAAGTCACCCAGGGAACTCCATGGCTGAGCAGGGACTTGCACCCAGGCTTCTCGATCCCAGTTCACGCTGGCTCTCCTGACATGCTCATCTATCCTTCTTTCTAGATGACTAGATGACCTTCGAACAACATTCCAATGCTATGATGCAGTTAGCATGGTTTGCAATTACGTGGTTAGGGTTTATATGTGTTACTTCAGATGAGTGGTTTTATGTGATGTCCCTATGCTTGTTCTGTTTTTAAGATAAAACAGTAATTGAATAATATATGAAAGACACATCAATTTAATAAAGTGAACATTACAGGAAAAGTACTCAGGATACTTTCACAGGAAGTTTGAAGAATGAAGAACCTACAGAGTCCAGATTACATTAAAAATGCATTTCTCCCATTTTCCTTTCTGCAACTATTAACATATTAAGTATAAGAAGGTATCAAGAATTACTTAATCTTTGCATGTGTGTGTTTCAGGGTGGGGTGGCGGTGGAAAGAAATGGATATATAGAACAGGGAAAGCTTACCAGGGAGAGCAAATGCCTCTGAATTTCAAACCAGTTCTTCTGGGGCTGAATTCTAACTCCAATTAATTACTTCTTCTAGTTTTTCAATATTCTCTTGAATATGTTGCCATTATGGAATTGTAATGGAATTTATAGGCTTGGGAATTCTCAGTAATCCAACTGGCTACAACAGACTTCCCCTGGTTTCTGATCCAGTTGTACCAAAAAGATCCAGTGTGCAGGCCCGCATAAAAATATACATAAAAAATAAAAATGCATATGCTAATTCACATTTCTGTGTAGAAATGATTTCCTTTAGAAACAATTGCTATAATTTAAATGCTATAGAAAAGCAAGCTAATTATCTTCCTGTTTCAGGGCAGAATGGTACAAAGGTACTAACAGGGCTCCCTTAAAAAGTTTGTTCCATGAGTCTACACTTTTTCTTGGTCTTTTGGGACGAAATCCAGATGAGATGCACAGAGTGCCTGGCACCTTCAACACTGATGGGGTACAAACTGAGGGTAGCACAAAGACAGGGAGATGAAAATGTACTGCAGACTATAATCCACAGTCTTGGACGGCAAATGTGCACAATTACGACCAAGTGAGCTCCATTAAACATGGCAGACTTGTTGTCGAGAAAATTTCCACTCGGTCCACACACACACACCCATCACCGGACAATGTGAGAAGGCAGACACACCCCATCCCAAAACTTGGAGGCTGCTTTATTTCAAATAGTTTATTTTGGATTCCAGAAGCCTCTTCTGTAGAGTTCTTGGGTTCCAACTTATGAACACCCGCAGCAAATGTTGTGATTAAGTTTCTAGAAGCCTCATCATCACACACCAAAATACATAGCTGTTTATTTTTGTAGAACCAAACTGATTGAGGCTGCCCAGCTGTAGCCTCGTTTGTTTTACGTCTAATGGCCCCATATACCTACCCCGGTTTTTATTCATTTTTAAAAATGTCCTGGGCTAGCAATCTCCAGATTGCTCTCTGGTTGTAATATTGGAAACGGCTTCAAAGTGGGTTGCAGACCTAGCACATTTACTCAGGAGTAAGACTGCAGCTCTATGCTTACTTGGGAGTAAATCCCACAGAACTTATTTCCCGAGTAAACATATTGAGAATGGGGTGCTGATACAGTCCCTTTCGGCAGGCAAACCCACCGTTATTTTCCGCCAGGTCTGAGGGAGTCGCGGGGCTCTGGCACGCCCGGCTGTGGGCAAGCGGCCAACATGGCTCTCGGCCTCCAAACTTGGCTTGAAGCTAGAGCACCGCTGTTGCTCTTCCTCTTCCCCTGGAAACTATCAAAGCACTGGCTGGCGGAGCAGGAGGCTGTGTAAACATTTCTGCCGGGCTCTCAAGGACGAGGAGCGAGAGTAAAATACTAGCCTGTCTTGAGTGCAGTTAAAAATATTGCAAGCCACCCTTGAAAGTGCTCAGCGACTGCACAGGGAAGGATGACGACACTGGGACCAAAGGAGAGCCAGGGATGGGGGTGGAGGGGCTGAGGCAGAAGGTATCTCAGCATCTGCAGGTAGATCAAAAGCATCTTGTTCCTCACCTAGCACACCGGCCAGGTGGACCCCAGTGGGAGCTCTTTCCATAACTGGGGAGCTGCCACTGGAAAGGCCCTTCTCCTCGTTGCTGCCTATCGGGCTTCCCTCCGAGGGGGTCGCTGGAGACAGGCCCCCGACTCTGATTGTAGGAGGAGGTTGTGCCAGGCCTTCCGTTAGGTAGCGTGATCCCAAGCCATGTCAAGACAAGAACCCTGAACCGAGTTTGAAAGGTATCGGCAGCCAGTACACATGGGCCAGAGAATTAGTGTTACGTGTTCAGTCCAATTCTCTGACTGGTTATGCGTTTGGTTTCTTTTCGCAAGTGTAGGACTTGGCATTTGCCTCTACTAAACTTCTCCGTGTTGTGTCCAGACCAGTACTCCAACCTGGAAAGAGCACTTTGAATGTTGTCTCTGACTTACGGGCGATTTGCTATCCCATCCCATTTCGTGTCATCTGCAAATAAATGATACGCCGTCTCCAAGTCCATTCATCCAGATCATTCGCATGTTAAAGAACATGGAGGCTGGACCCCACCCATTACCTCTCCAGTTTGATAAGCACTCTTTGAGTCTGATTCTGTAGCTATCTGTGAATCCGTCTGATGCTCCATCTAGCTAATTCGAGCTGATCAGGATACCACTGGGCTGCTTCATCAAAAGCTTTGTTGAGGTCAAGATAGATTATGTCTGCCAAATACCCACCGTCCAACAGGGAAGTATCCCAAACAGTAAATGGGATCAGATCAGTCTTGCAGAATTTGTCCTTTACAAGCCCATGTTATTCATTTAGTAATCACTCATTGATATCTGCAGTTTTCAGTAGCTAATATACTCAGCTAGGAAATAGGTCCAAGATTGCAAGACCACCCATGCAGGAAGTTTCATTCAACAAGGTCTGTTTAGGTGTAGAAGAATTAAGAGAAAAAAGTCAACCATATACATAATGAAAACATAGAAAATATTAATTGGCAAATAATTCAGTTTATATACAATTTATTTTGAGATACTGCTAAAACAAGGCCAGGTTTAGTGCAACTTGAAATTCTTATCTTGTAACTAATAGTATCTAAAAACCACAAAATGTCGCCATTGCACAGTGAAAGAGCTTCATTCACTACTGGTATATCTAAACAATTATTCAAACTGCTTTTAGGTTTATAATTGTCACACCAAGGGCCACTCGACAGGCATTTCCTGAACAGAAAGCAATACCAGGTTTAGGAAGAAGTGCAGGAACCATGTGTCGCTTACACACTTCATTTCTCTGTCTCTACCTATACTGGGTATGCATGTAAAACATCATCCTATTTCTTTAAGCCATACAGGAAAACAGAACAGAGCAATCCAACAGCACTAAAAAAGTGCGGGGCAGCTTAACCCATTTACTGCCGGACTTGACTCCTCACGTGAATGCAGCCGGGGCCTCCGCTGTCCCTCAAGCCCTAGCAAAGGGGCTCTGAAAGTCCACGCTTTCCAGCACACTAAGCCTGGTGAAGTATTCAGGAGAGGAAGAGACGAAACATCCCTTGCCCAACCGCCCCACATGCGGGTCACACTCCTGGACCTCCTGTGTCCTCACTTCTGCAGAACAGGGCTCACAGAGACAGGTTCGAATCAAGGTGCCATGGAACTTAGGGTTCCAGCTCCAGGGTTTGACAAAGAGGCCAAGAAGAGCTCTCTGGTCCCCCAGCCATCTGGAATAAGTGCTTCTATGTTTTTTCTTCTCAGCTCCAGCTTCTGCATCTGCAGGCTGCATCCCAGGCAAAAATTCAGGAGGCAAAGATGCCAGTCCTGTTTCTGCCATGGAAAAATGCTCCTGGTGAATTTCTACCTGCCTCGGGATTCCTGTCATTCTAGGGAGGTGACAAAGAAATCAGAAGGCTTTACCTAAGTGTATGGTACTACCTGGCGGGGGGTGGGGGGGCCTGCCCAGACACCTTCGCAGCCCATGGCCATGTAACAGATGCCAGGCATCTTCAATTCCCTTGATGGCTTCTAACTGCACAGGACCCCGCCTGATGATTAAAGGATGAAGCCAACTCTTCTGCAAGCCCAATCAAGACTCAAAACTCCTCTCCTTGCAATCAACTATTTACATTTACAAATGACCAACTGGTAAGGGATACATAAACGGATTTACCTGGAAGTAACTTCCAAATGTTCTTCCAAGGAAGGAAATTCCTTCCACATAGCTTAGCTCAGGATTAAGGTAGATGTGAGTTACCCTAACTCTGCAAAACTAACCCAATCAACTGCATTTCCTATCAATCAAAGCTGCCTAGGATTAAATCAAGTCCAAACCTTCCATGAGAACAATTGTTGTCAGTATGGCTGCAACTATACCGAGATGTATAAGGTGGCTCAAAACTAAAGAGAACGGTGATCAGGAACTACACCCTGAAAGCTAAAATACTGCAGAAAATAAAGATGCTCACTGGAAAAAAACAGAACACTGCATACTTCAAGTGCTGCAGCCTGAATTAAGCTGAAGTCCTGGGGGAAGCCACTGGCAGTTTGCTTCTAGACTAGGATCAGCATCTTTCTCCCTACTGGGAGCAAAGCAACCACAGTCTCTCTTGCACTGCTGGCAGGTCATCCTCACTGGTGTGAGGTGGTTGTTTCCCCAGTAATTAAGCACAGATATGGCCAGGGAGACAAGCAGGTGCATTCCTGTTTCTGTTGTATGTAGCAGCAAGCAAGCTCAGCTTTACCCAGACTGCAGTGTGGAGGAGCCTGCCTGTTTTGAAATTTATGATCCCACTCTCAAAACAAGCTCATTAAAATAGCTACGCAATGCTAAGGGCCTCACACTAATGACAAAAGGTCTCAGTAGCTGCGTGCTCAATCTACTTTAACACAAGGAACTGTTTACAGGAAAGTCTGAAACAAAAATGTACTGTATAAAGAGGAAATATTGGTCCTGGGACAGTCATCGGTAGAAAAAAATTCAGATATGCTTCCTAACACCACCAGCTATATGTGGTCCAACACTTCTTTTGGTACTGGTCAATTTAATTGGGGTAGATTAAAAAGCAACCTAGATGTGACATTTTTTTTCTTTGCATAGTTGGTTTATATAGGACGAGAACAAATGCGTTTTATTGAAATACAGAGAACTGTTCTTGACGCGCTTTTGCAGGAGGACTCTCAACACAAAGTCAAACAAAGCCATAGCTCTTTAGAGTATGTGCCTGACATGCGCATCTACAGCTACAACCAATAAAAGACGTCCATTTGTAAGAAACAGCAGTTCCACCAACCTTTAGGGCTGTTTCTCTCATTGTTTCACAGGCCAGAGCGGAGACACTGCAACAGATATTGGTGGCGAACCTCCCTAATCCTTAAAAGCAACCACATTCCACCCTGATTTGGTCACTTTCTGCCTTCCTGTTCACTCTGAACTGCCCTGAGCTCCTTCGAGGTAGAGGAGAAAGAACAAGCAGTAGAGTTTGTGTACCAATCTTGCTCTACGGTGGAGAAAGTGGCAGATCATGGATTCTGTGTTCACTGAACAAGAGGAAAGACAGGAAAAGAGGGACAGAGGGGAAGACGTGTGCTAGGCTGAAGTGGTACATTTGTCTAGCTTGCTCACTCCCTTATGGACAGACTCCAGAGACATTCATTCCTCTTGCTGCTGCAACGGGCTGAAGTTCAGGTGGGCCAGGGTTACTCGTTAGGACAATATGCATGGATAACGAGTCAATGGAGCAGCACGAAGCACCGGAGAGGAGAGCTACATTTACAGTCACCCAACGTTTCTCACAAGGCAAATAACAGAACAATAGCTAGCCGAGATGCACGATACAGGTTTCCATCCTTCCAAAGGAGGCAAGAAGCAAGGAGACGGCACAGTGCTATTCAGACACGTTCCTGAAGCCATCGAAAGAAAGTCCTGTTCTCCAGGGGTCTCTCCCCATCGGGCGCCTTCTCCATCACTTCGTGGTACTTCAGCACTGCCTGAAAGAGATCTCCCACTTTCCAGCCTCTCTCTCGCATTTGTTTTGAAAGCTGGAAGCAAAGCAGAACAAAAAAAAAAAAAAAAAAGCAGCCTGAGTCAGAAGTAGAACTGGAATGGGGTAGCCTGGGGTGAAGCACCGAGAAACCCCTTTCCCTGCAAGACCCCGTCCCTCCTCTTCCAACACGGAATGCTGGCTCATTTCCACCAATCACAGCGAGGCACATCCTTCCCCCACCGCCTCATTTCCACAAAAGGCTTTGGCTGTAATTAAAGACCATCGGGCAGCAATTTACTTCCTTTCCCTGCACTCCCTCCCTAACTTTCTGCAAGAAAGGGAGTATTCCTAGTCAAGTCATTAATCTTTGTTTCCTTAACTGAGACTTAGGGATGCTTAAGCAGATTTAATTCTTTTTTCCTGTGTTTTTCAAAAAGCTAGCGAGCAGGATATTAAAATTACAATGCAGAAAAGATTAGTATTTTACGACTGCAGGCTAAAGGTACCCTCAAAGGTCAGCTATTTGCTCCTCCCTGCGGTTCTTCTTAAAGATGCTTCCCTTGGTGGCATCCGAGCAAATCCGGCTCACGGTTATGTGGGCAGGACATGACAGGAGAAAAAAAATCCTCAGTGAACATGAATAGTGTCATGACCGCTCCTCCTCAGGGTGGCCCCATCAATCAACAAATCACCTCTTTCCTCATCCCACCCTTCCATGGCAAAAAGTGTGATTTCCTGGGTATAGGTGCTCAATTCTCAAGGGGAACCTCTGATTCCAGAGAGGCACATTCAGGAAATGGAAAGGTCTAAAACAGAAAATTAACATTTCCATCTGCAAGCTAAGCTAATGTAGTTTAATCGCCCTCCTTGACAAAGGCCTGCAAGTTTGAATAGAAACACATGTGCACGGTGGATGCTCAAACCGAAACCGCTGACTGCCTGGGATGGTGACTTTCTTCACAGTACTTTTGGGGAATGAGCCATCTGGAAATCAGGCAAGGAGGGTAAGTGTGCCAACAGCTGAAACTTAGGAGACATGGATGGATTTCTGTGAGTGCTATTATGTCATGCCTACTTCAGGAACCAAGTGGGGCTTAGGCTGAGTTTTCAAACACAGGAGACAAAGATGGCGCTACTTCAGAATCCAGGCGGCATCTCACACGACTGAATGTGCTCTTAGACATAAAACATGCATCTTTTTAAAACCTAGATGCCAGAGAGAATTCAATTTTAATTTAATTTAGTTTAAACATTTACAGAAAAGTTCAAATGCATTTTTCTTGATATGCTAGTGGTTTGTTTGCAGTATTTTTATACAAAGCAATACTCAGTCTTACTGACATGAAACGGATCAAAAATATGGCTGCCATTTCACCCTCTGTTTATGAGAATTAGAACTTCACCACAATCACGAGCTAGCAATTCCTGGAGAAACAGTCTGCTCAGGTCAGTGGGAAGGATGTTCAATATCCTTAATGAGAAAAAGAGTGCCCCAACAAACACTGATGGGGGGAACCTACCCCTCACCAAAGACACGTGGAGCTACAGGGTCTCCAAAACAGGGTGGCGGGTGAGCTTCCTTCCCTTCCAGCCACCCTCTGGCTGGAAGGCACTTTCCCCTGTCTGCGGAGAATCTGACTTTAGCAGAATGGGGGAAAGGGTACCTTCTCAAAAATTTGCTTTCTGCAGTAAAAATCCAGAAAGTGGGTAGGGAAAAAAGGTGAAAATCCAGAAAAGAGGATGTTCCCAACATTTTACTTCTGATGGCCATTTGGTGGTGCCTGGGACACTTTTTCAAGATGTCAGATATGCTCCCAGACTCCAAAAGGATGGCCTAGCAGTACTTCAGACCCTTTACTTGCTTTTAAGAAATTAAAAGCCAGCAGTCAGAGCTTTTCTCAAGATCGAGAGACACTGATGGCAAAGCTTCATATACTGAGCTTCAGCTTACCACATAATTGCTAAAGATGAGGAAAAAATCAGCGACCTCTTTTGATGTCTAATATCTTTCTGACCTAGTGGAAGATATTAAAGGATGCAGTTTTCCACGGCCCTTCAAAAGATAGTAGACATAATCATGAGCTACAGAGATGGATCTGGCATATCTAATGAAGAGCTGCAAACTGGACAAATGCAGGAAGGGAAACCCCTTGCCAAGAGCTCATCCCTTTCATTTCCCTTTCCCAGCAAGACAAGGGGAAAGGCGTCCAAATATTGAGTGAGGCTGGCCAGTCGGGGCTGGCTTTGCAGTGCCGAGTCATGTAAGATGCTGACAAGATGCATCCATCAGGTTAATGATCCCTCTAACTGTGGAGTTGGTGCTTGCTTATACCAGGAGTTGATTTCAGGCCGAATCCCTCCCTTCCCCTGCAGGTGAGGATGCCCAAAGCATGCTGACCGAAGGCAACACCGCCGACCTAAAGCAAGCCAACTGCGCTGTAGAGTAATTGGTCCTTGTTTGGACTTCCCGGAATTTGAGGGCCACTTTTCCCAAGAAAAGCTACTGCTGTGCGAGTTACCCACAGCTCTCTCTTGAACACTGCTCAGGGTCGCTCCAGAGACCGTTCTGAATGCAGCATTAATGCCAATTACCTAACAATTCTATCCATAATTGGAACAATAATGGTATTTCAGCACTTGCATAAAATGTGATTAACGCAGGGGAAGCACTGCAGTTGTGATTTATACAGTGCCGGCACGTTTATTACTCACGGGAACAAAGTCCTTTGGAGCACTGTCACGAAAATGAAGCTCAGACACCTCTGCTTCTGAGGCAGTCAACCACTGCAGCGTCATCCTCAGCTGTGAGTCCACCACGCATGGTCCTATGTCGACGTTTGCGACGGTCAGTGCCTTTCCTACGCCACGTGCTGACCCTGCTGCAAGCACAAGAGAGCAGAGCCAGGACGGCATGACGGTCAAAGATCCGGCCTGGGGAGTCTAGCTCCCCCTCTTCTAAGAAGCCCGTGGAGGGACTCCGGGCCAGGCTCACACTCTCGGTCTAACTGAACTCACAACATTGTTGTTGTGAGGGCAATGTGGAGTTGAGGAGAACTCTGCAGGCCACCTTGGGTCACTCACAAGAGGAAAAAAGTAGGTTTTAGTTGTTTTGTTGCTAAATGCTGTTTTAAAAGTTTTAATATGGAGGTCACTACCTTACATTGTAGCAAAGTGTCATTTCTTCAGGGTTGTCACGTGAAAAGATATAAAATATTTACAAAATGTGAGGGGTGTACTCACTTCTGTGATATACTGTATATATTATGATGCTTTTCCTGTTCTATTTTTATATTTGTATTTCATTACATTTCTTAACTCCTGTCCACTGCTGAGGGAGCTCATGTTACGGATAGTCCAGAACTAAAATAAATAACAGTAAATTGTGTCTGAGGGCTACAAGTCAATGTTTCTGTGGATGGGAAGATAAGCTGAGGCAGGCGAAGAACCATGGAAAAATAGGGTTTCTGCTATTAAGATCCTCAGCAAGTCAAATGCTTACAGGAATAAAAAAAAGTCTTGACCAGGTATCAGAAGACAGGAATAAAGAGCCAACATTCTTCCATAATCTAAACTCAGCCACACAGAAGATCCTCTCCCACATCCTAGTCTTTCTGTCTTGCCCACTGCTGGGACAAAGCCTTCTTCAATGAATCTTAGATAAGGCAGGATGGGATCAGAGACTCAACAGGCCTTGAACCCTCCATCCTAGGAGCCCTGATTGCATGTATTTGTGGAAGAAAATGTACTTTGTACATGCTCAGAAGAAGCTCTATTAATTCAGTAATGCTAGGCCCGAGTCCTAAAATTACAATGCTGTACTAAAGACTTCAGTGATTTTTGTGATAATGCACGAGATAGCAAAGAAAATCATGCTTCCACTACATCGAAGATCAGTGCAGGAGGCAGTCACTGGCCTTCTGCACAATACGCAAGAGGTACTGACAAGATCAGTGTGGCGCAATTAGGATTATTCCAGGCCAGCGGGGCTCCACATTTGTACGACACACGCAGACGGGGAAGGAAAGTGGGGAGGGTGTCCCCTTTCCTACCAAATGGAATACGACACAACTCAGAGTGCTTTGTGTGGGACTGGTGAACGCCGACAGAGCCCCGGCCTGTAATTTAAGGGAAAAGCGCCTGCCACCATGCAAGAAGCGTGGATCACATTTTCATGCTCACACTTTGCTTAGGAAGAGCTTCCACACAGGCCAAAATCAGTAGCCCTCAGACTTTGGTTTACAGAAGATAAAATGTATGACAAAATGCATAGACATCGTTCTTAAACGGCCTGGGATGGCTTTTCTGATTCAAGCCTTGCAAGTGCTGATGCTCAAGAAGAGCTCACCTTCAGTGGTCTCCTTCAACTCTTCATCTTTCTCTTCTGTTCCATCACTGGGGAAAAAAGACGTCGTTATTGCTATGTGTGGTAACGTGAATGTGTCCTACTTCAAAGAGTCGGGGATGAGCATTCAAGGAAAAAGAGCATGAATTGATAGAAGCATCAAGGAAGGTTGTGAAGCATCGCTCCTCACACCATTTCCTGCGACAGGGCTTGCAGTTTTCCAATTAGCACAACAAAGCAATTTTCTCTTTAATTGTAAACTATGGAGTGGTTTCCAGAAGGAAAAATACAATTTCATTCTTATTTTGAACCGGTTACATGAAAATCTCTAATTGATAATGGGGAAAAATACGTGGAAACAAAAGAAAACAAGAAATTGTGTAAGAAGCAAGCCTGTTATTTTTATGAAGAAATAGTTGGAGGCATCTAGCATAGCAAGCAGCTCATGCATAACCTTATTTGGTTTTGTTTTCGTTTTGCCAGGACATTCGCACTGTGACATAGTAAGATGGACCCATTTGGGATGAATTTGTTAAGGAAAACCATGATTAGGTGAGAAGCATGTGGATAATGGATCGGATCTCATATACGCAGTTCATTTCCTCCCAAAAAGGAATGACGCCATGCATTAAAATACGAGGAAGTAGCCTGTTTCAACGTCTTGGTTTAACCAACCTGTCTGATGTGGGAAAGGATAAATTGTCCTCATACACATCTCCTTCTAAACCAAGACTGCTCCAGCTACTGCTGTTACCATTACTGCCAGGAGAAGAAGAGAACAGAGCTGAACTGGAAAAAACATCTCAAACCAAACCATCACTTTCCTTGGTGCTGTCAGCCTGGACTCCTGCGTGGGGTTACCGTTTTCTGTAGAAAGTCCCACGGGGACAGAATGGGAACACGGGGCAGCTGTCAACACTGTTCTGAGGAGCAAGGGTGCTTTGGACCAAGGCAGCACCCCAAAAGAAATGACCAGTGGGGAAGCAGAGGTGGGAAGCAGCGACTCAGAGGGTCTCCTGGTCAGGCAGGTTAAGGGCAGAGTTAATTCCTCCGTTTAACATTTAGTTGGAGAAGGATTCCACACAGCCAAAGCCATGCAAGCACCTATTCCAGCCCTGAAATTACCCACAAGTTGAAGTAGTAAGCACTGAGATCAAAGTCTGGAAACTCTGTGGCCATGTGTGGTCATGGATTATAGATTCCTAGTAACTTGCAGCTCGTGTCTGCGCAGGATGTTACAGGCACGATGGTTCTACGTTCCTTGGCCTACTGGGATGCATGCTATGGAACTAAAACACCTGTGGCTTCGTGTAGATGGGCTGAGAGAGCCGGTGACATGGGCTCTGAGGGCAGGATCCACAGAGATACCACATCTGATTGCGGTGTTCCCTGCATGCGGAGCTCCCGTTGATTCTGGCTGCATTTCCTGCGCCTGATTTGCTTTGCTTCTGCTCACGCATAAACAAATTTCCATCAAGGCATGCAGTTCAATATTTGCAATGCTTTAAATGAGGGTGCATTACCCCACATAAAATTAACAGCTTTTTTTTTGGGTGGGGGGGGAGGAAGACCTGAAAGGTCCCAATTGTCACTTTTAATTCTCTTTTAACTATACGAAACACAGAAGTTGGGTTTCATTAATGGCCATTTTCCAAATATTATTTTTTCTTTTTGCTTGATTTTGTCTACTGGTGTCATGTGTTCAGCACATTTCTGTCCTCTTCCGAGGAGGGCCAGGTTGCTTACCAAGTCCTCCTGGCCTCCCCCACCCCCTTTTGTTCTCGTAGCAACTCGGTGAGGGAGGTTGGGCTGAGTCAGTGACTAGCTCAACCAGAGACCAGAACTCAGATCTCCTGGGTCCCAATCCAACTCCAACCCCATATATCTCTTAGCTCTGTTTTTAATACGTCACTACTAAAATTGCATATTCCTGAAGCAGACTGCAAGTCAAAATTAGCCTTTAAAATCAAAAAGGAAGGACTGGAGGTTAAACCATGCCATTCTATCAGAAATATATTCTTTTATTTACCTATCACTAAGGTGAAGGAAGCTGCTACTTTCATCTGGATGCTCATCTTCGAAACTCAGATTGGACCAACTTCCAGTGCTGTCATCTCCAGGGCTCAGACTCATTTGCTGGCTGGCCATGGAGTCGGCAGAATTAAAACCCTCTTTTCCGGTGGAACTAAATTAGAAATTAAATATATTTATAATATTTGTTCACAAAGAGTTCCCAGTTCCTTTTCCCGTGTATCCCTGCTGTTGTCCCTTGTTAATTTCTGGAACTGAATTGAATGCCTTCCTGTTTAGGGCGAACTTCCCCATCTTGGCACCCCACCCCTCCAATGTTGGGTATCAGCCAGTACAGCCGCTGGCCAGGAATGCCGGGAGTTGCAGCAAGACATCCGGAGGCTGCTTTGGGTCCTGCATCTCTGAAGATGCTTTTTTTGCTTGGAGAGCAGCACACTTTTCTGCCAACTGCTGAAGGATTTCATCTCGACCCAAATCCATGACCTTTGGCTGCTTCCTCATGTGGGACGGACGAGTTCATTGTCCGTATATAATCATGTGGCTCAGAACTGGAGCAGGCAAGGGCCTGGAGAGAGCACTTCTGAAAAGCCGCTCTCCTTTTCACAAAGCGAATAAAGGAAATTCACTTGCTCCTAAGTAATCATAGGCATCTCACGAACACCTCAGTTCACGACCAAATCGGGTTGCGAACAGAAATTTCATAAAAATTTTGTTGCGGGTCGCAAACTCTGCATTGGGTGACAATTGCAAGCGCGCCCGCCTTCCCTGCACGGCAGGAATCACATTGTGCTGGGGGGGGGGGGGGATGGCTGGGTTCATGCTGGGGGGGGAAGGCTGCAATTGCACCCATGTTCCCTGCCCGAGCGCGCCCACGTCCGCCTCCCCGCCAGCGCACCCACGATCGTGCCGTCTCCCCCCCCCCACATGATCGCTGGGAAGGGGGGGAGATGGCCGCAATCTTTGTTGTTCTTTGTCACTTTGCTTCAAATTTTTGAGTGAAAAAAATAGTTGCGGAACAGATTAACCTTATTTACATTGACCCTTATGGGGAAATTTGACTTGGCTCACGACCAATTTGGGTCACGACCAGAGTCCTGGAAAGGATTAAGTTCGTGGGTCAAGGTACCACTGTATATACATAAAGAATTCTCCTAGTCAGAGAGGATGCAACCGGATCTTTTATTTTTAAAGAAAGGAAGAGAAAATATTAATTTATATATACACTGTATCTCAAGCAGCACAACACTTGCTGGGTTTTGAAAGAGCAACTTCCATAATCATTTGCTTATGAACCATGTTCATTTTTTTAAAAGAATGTTATGGACCCCACATGACAACTGGATATTTAAAAAATGATGAGGCACCAGATCATACAGTAGGAAACCATGCCAAACCTAGTATTATTACCACAATAGTTTCAGCATAAACTCACGACATGCAGATTCCCCCCCCCTCATTTTAATTAATTATCTGCACATGTAAATAATTTGATCAACTTATCTTTTCACTGAATGTGACTTACCAAATCAATGCTGAAAGCAGGGCCATGAAAATGAAAGATTCAATTCAGAGGGGTTTAAGATAGTACTTAATAAACAGGTGACTTTTTCTAGTAAGTTGCCAAAAAGAAAAATAGCAACAGTGCACAAATATATCTATATCTCCTACTGAACACAACTGCTTTTCTTCTTCTAAAAAAAAGACTATTCTGTGAAAATTACAAAACCTATACAGCTATTGGGGGATTCTACTGAGTTGTACTGCTAAGTCAAATCAACAACACAGACTCCACCTGGGTTTTTCAATTTCATTATGAATTTGGAACCAAGACTGATTGTTTGCCAAATAAGGAAAACAATATTAAAATGGTTCACCACCTTCGTATATTCTATAAATCTCCAAGTTCCATGCATTGATTCTCCCCTCTTCCCTCATCAGCAAAGACTTTGGTTTTTAAGCTTTTATCGCAAGGTAACCTCTGTCTGTCTCTCTTCTGTTGCATGAATTAAAAATGACTAGTGAATAGTACACACATTTCTGAGAACAAGAGGACAGTCAGATCTTATATATATTAAAAGCAACGTAATAAAAACACGTAAACATTACCTCAGATTAACAGCTGTAGCAATGTTAGTCATGCAGGAAGTCATGATTTCGGTAGTAAGGCTTTCAGCAAAGCTAACCCCATCTTGGCCAATTCCGCTGTCAGCTGTCAAACTTGTGTTGCTGAGCTGTCTTCCTGCTTTGTCAAATGCCACAGCAACTATATTGTCAGCAAACACCGCTTTCTCATCCATATCAATATGAATTTTGGGAATATCCAGGTGAAGCACATGAGACTGTGGACAGTCAGCACTCACACCTGCGTTTGGAAACTCCCAAGCTTTAGAGCGGACGTCTGGTCCAGTCAGCAACAATGACGAAATGCCAGTACAGTACTGCTCTTCCTTCATATTGCAATGTCTACAGGCAGTTGCCGAAAACGGAGATAACTTTTCTGCGTGTGTTGACCTATCGCCATTTGTCTGGTTTTTCGTATTTTGATGAGTGACAGATTCCAAGCTGACCTCCAAGGTATCATCTACAACCTTCCTAGCATAATGCTCTATGGCATGGAGAATGCCCTCTCTCTGGGGCGAGTCATTTAAGCTGCCTGTGCTGTGATACAGCTTTTGTTTGCAATGGAAAGGAGAAAGTGTTTTAGAGGCTGCTTTAAGATCTGTAACTTTATCAGTCTTAGATTTTTCATACAAGCAAGAATCAGTTAAGGACTTTGGTAAGCAAGGTGCTGACATTAATTTTCTTGTAACATCAGAAGTTATACTAGAAGCGACAGAGCCTGAGAAATCCAATAACTTTGTATGCTCATTTCTATGTATGCAGCATTGGTTGCTGCAGGCTTGTCTTCCAAATTGTCGAAAGTTACTTTTTCTCTGTCTATTTATATCCACGTCCTTGTTGACTCTCTCAAATAGTTCAAGTTTATTATATGAGTTCTGCACAGGAACTATTTTTCGATTATGTTTCATTTTGAGTTTCCGGGCAGCTTGCTGCGTGCCATATTTTACCGCTCTGCAAGCAAGTCTACTGGCAAACTGGTCCATTATTAGGTCAAGGTGGCCGCCTTCCTTTTTCAGAATCCGAATGATGTGATCTGCATATTCATCCGTTACGCTCTCACAGCTTGGGTATTTGGAGGTAAGGCCCGGAGCTTCCGAATTATGGGGTAAAGGAAGGATGAAGGCATCTGTCTCTCTAGACCAATGGCGCGCCAAGGAGTATTTCCTGTCTTTTGAGCAGCATTCTTGATAATTTTTTTTAAGATGAAAACCATCAGCCTGGTAACTGCATTGCTTTTGCCTCAGAAGCTTGCAATGCCTTGCTTTCATCACTTTCTTGGCTTCACTAATGACCTTCCCAGCCATATCACCAGCATAAGCCCGCAGTGCAAGTAAGGTACTTTCTGGAACATTCATAAATGCAGTGTATCTTTGGTTTTCTCCATTTACTGGAAGGTGTGTACTATTCCTCATCTGAATACCTTTACCATCCAAATATGAAGCAGCCATTTCAGTTGCCATAGAGATTATACCAGTGGCTAGATTATCTGCATATTCTATTGCTCTGGCTGATGTTTTAACCCTTTCAGTTAATGTTTCAGAATATTCTTCATCATCGCTGTTTTCCACCTCTTCAGACAGAGACCACATTAGTTTCAGCATGAACTCTTCCTTTTCTAAGTCATGAGACTGATTTTCACATACTCCATCTATTTCCGATCGGTAAGGTGTAGAAGGGGGCGTAGCAGGTGCAAACTCCTTTGCTAGTTCACCTTTAAGTTTCTTCGTTAACTTCCTTAAAGTCCACTCAGAACTAGACTGGGAGGGGACCAAAGGTGTCGGTGGGGGTGTATCTGGGACTGCAGAGAGATGTCCTTCTCTGATGCTTGACCGATCTTCCATTTGAAGTGGTTCTTCACAGTTGGTCGATGCAGAAGTACAACTGTTCATGTCAAGAGCTTTTTCAGGACAAACTACTGAGCACTCCACTGCTTTGTGCAAGTTGTGTTTCTCCAGTGGATCGTTCAATGATCTTGCAGAACTTTCTGGGTCTGAACAGTCTTCCGCAGGTTTTGCAAATGCGGCTGTGGAACACGGAGGGGACATGCATGTAGCTACCCTGCAAGTTATATATTTCTTTTTGTCCTGTAAGCAATCGTTAGAGGCTGAAGGCAAACACCTGTTAGAGTAAACAGGAGTTACATGAAATTTAGATGCACTGCTCACGGGCATCTGCCGTTGCCCTACAATTACTGGAACGCTCTTGCTTTGTTCAAATTGCTTTATTGCACTATGCAATTCTTTCCTATTGCCTTTTGTATCAGTTCCCAATCCCACACAGTAGGCTAACTTCTCACCTGTGGCAGAACATGCAGATTTGGTTTCATCTACAGACTGTTTCACTATGCGCTTGGCCAAATAATTAGTAAACATATTCTTACAGGTATCTTCACCAATGCACTGCAAATATGGCCTTTTCTCCATTTTTAGCATATCTGTATATTGCTCTGAAGATTTAGAAGCCTTAGAAAAAGTGACTGTTTCATATGCCTCAGTAACTATCATGTCTACCATTGTTCCTGAAAAGTTATTGATGCTTGGCATCCCAGCTGGGGAGTCTGAAAATTTACTGATATCAGAATTACTGGCTTGTTTAAAGTCACTTTGCACACATAATGATTGTGTGTTATATTCATGATCTGTTCTGGTATCTGTTGTCAGGTAAACATTTCTAACCGATGTTACTTCACTTTGTTGCTTTTTTGTTGCGTAACACAATTCTGCAGAGTCTTTGTATATTTTCAGACCGCCATCTGATTCTGAAAGGTTCCTTATCTTTGCATCATCAGATAAAATCTGATTCGAACGAAGTACGCTTCCAGCTAAGGGCAGTGGAACCGAACTTGCAATGCCTGAAGTATAAAATAAGGCTTTATGAACAGTATATTCCTTTCTGAATTCCTGTACTGGATTCAAAGTTACTGGCATTTTATCAGGAAACTCAGAGGACACACTGGTGGTCTGTGCTGACTCCAATATCCTTTCTGCATTTATATACTTTATGTTGTCCATGGAAATACTAATCGCCGCTTGTGTCGTAAACATCACATCAACCTGGGATAACTCAATAAAAGCTTCCTGAATGACTGAGTCAGACAAGTCTTTGGCATACGAATGCACAACTTTATCATTATAATGAAACGACCAGTTCTGAGAAGCTGTTGGAGTTGATGGGTGTGAAAACTGACACACTTCCATGATCCCTTCAAAAATCAGCTCCTCGACAAGGTTGGCTGCAAATTTTGCAACTGTGTTGGTAAATATTTGTTGCTTTACGGAGTGAAGCTCTTTTAACGCGCCAGTTATTGCTTCACTCACCAGAAAGCCCGCTAGCCCATTAACTGCTTTCTTCTTCAGTGAAAGGGCTTGCTGCCTCCCAATCTCGTAAAAAGCCATTTGAAAGACTGAAGAAGTCAGTTTAGCAGCCAAATGACAGAGGGTATTAGTACACGAAGAAACACCTTTCCGAAGGTCTTTAAAAGCACTGCCCAGACTCTTTTCAACAAGCTCGGATGCAAATTTTTGGATATGGTCCTTAATCATTAGTGATCTGCATTTAGATTTACCTTTCCTGCCTACTCCTTTTCCAGAAATTTCCCCTTTATTTTTTGCAGCCTGACCTTTTCCATCTTTTGTGAAAATCCTACTATTGTTGGAAACTTCCTGTTTGCATGGACATAACAAGGACCTAGAATTAAACACAGAACCCAGAATCTCAAAGGACACATTGTTCGCAAAATCTGAATAGGTGTGGCAAGCTAGACGGTGGTTTTGGTTAATGGCATCTCTGTTGACGCCCGCTTGACAAAAGCACTCTGCAGAAAAGCAACTGCCTAACGGGCTGAAAGCCGATGATCTGATTGGGCTGAACAAACACCCACTGTCTTCCCCCGAGGTTTTCACTGGTCGTGGGGAACCTGGAACATCCAAAAGGTTGCTATATGGAGATTCTGGTTTACGAGGAGTTGGTTTCCTTACATGGGCTGGAAGAGCGGGGCGATCAAACTTAAGCTTCGGTGGATTCATGGCTGTCGTAGTACTGCACAACTGATTACATGGAATCATTTCCTTTTGTGACGGGCTACCCAGAATGGGATCCCAAGTATGTTTAGCACTGTTTTCCAGACTTGGATCTTGTTCATCAAATTGGTCAAAACTATCAAAAAATTCACTTACTTCAGAGTCCAAATCTTCTATACCATCTTTCATCACAGGGATTTTCGGTAACTGAAGCTTTGCCTTCAAGCTTTTTTGATACCCTTCTTCATCTAAGAAAATAACAGGGCTTGGACTAGAGCAATCTGATTCTGATGATTCAACAGGCGAGGAAGAAAATAATGTTTTATGTAGAAGATTAGCACTGTGGTCAGAGGAATTATGCAGCCTGAAGAAACTCCTCTGTGCCCAAGGATCAGAAATAGAAGTGGTGACCGAATTTCTTGCAGAAGATGACAATTCTTTAAATTCCAGAATGTTAACCAGAGCAGCTGATGAACCCACAGACACCTTCAGGTGCTGAGAATTCACAATGTTCTTTGGATCAACAGATTCTAAAAGATGACTAATATGTGAAGTAGTATTTTCATGTTTCTCTGGAATAACAGGGCCTATGGCAATGTCGGAGGGGGAAAAGAACAGTTAAAACACTAAATAACTTACAGTCCATTATTACAAGGTAACCATAATTTAACAGTTAAATGCTAGGCAGCACAATCTTACGCAAAGTAAGTTTCATTTAATTCAGTAAGGTTTATTTCCCAAGTGAGATAAATAAGGAAAATAAAATGATGCTTTTGCAATAGATTTGAAACTAATCAAGTGAATCATAGAAATGATTAAGTTAACAGTAAGCATTGTTAAAAATCAAGGAGACAAATCATTCGTAGGGCACAAGGAGTCCAGCCTTAATGGTGGAAGGTAAGGAGTCCAGCCTTAACGGTGTGCTGACAAGAAAGGTAAGTGAACTGATTACGCTGACAAAAGGATTAGGGGGAAACCTGAGGGGAGTGATGACATGCCTGAAACAGATGATAAAAGACATTTGGATGGTAAAAGGGTCTTTGAAAATGTGGTCATGGGAGATGTAAACGGGGCGGTCTTTCACATGGTCAGTCTAGGAGGACGGGATAGGCTGCAACCCCGAAGGACCCTAGCCAATGGGATCTAAGCGGAGGGACACCTGTGGCTGGGCACAGGAATAAAATGGGGTGATTCAAGCGGATTGTGTGTGTGTGTGTGTGTCTCCCTATAGGACACACCCACTTTTGCAAAAGTGATTTCTTTTAATAAATTAGTTCTGCTTGAATTTGTGGGTGTGAGAACTTTGTTTTTCTTAGAAGTGTTGCTCACACCAAGTAAGCATGCATAGGAAGGCAGTTTTAGCAAGAGAACTGCCAACAAAATTACCCCAAGCCAGGGTCAGAAAATAATTGAGAGCGTGAGGAAAAACGAAATTCACCTCAAAGCAGATGTGCAAGTCTGCAATTCACGGACATTCTAGCCAGACAGGAATCCCTGGTTTCCCCTCGCCAGCACTTCCCACTATGTTTGCCACCCTGCTGCACAACATCATACGATCATGGCTGCCCACCAGAACTGGGCTGAGCCACGGAGAGCCACTGGGCATGTCAGGCAGTGTCTGAAGATTTAATCAACACCTGCAGCTCCTCCTGTGGAGCGGGCAGGGAGGGTTAGGGTTAAATTAATTCTGTACACAACCCCCTTAAATATGCACCGTATAGTCCGAACCCTAAATCCAAGCCATTTAAGCAGTCACAACGCTGCGGGAGACTAACCAGGGTTGGTCATCCTTGTTGGCTCATCTTCGTCAAAATGCTCCAAAGCCGTAACGAAATCGTCCTCGATGGAGGACACAGACTGATTCGTATCGTCATCCTCCGTGTGTTTCACATCTGAAAGGTGCTTCTGCAGCGAGTGCATTTCCAGTGTACATCTTATACCAGCAGCATATTTGCTAAGCAAAGTAAACACGGAGTCAGCTTCAGGCCTTGGACATGAAGGAGATAATCTCATCACACATAGAACTCGTGAAGCGTAATTCTTGTAAAGAGAGAGAGAGGGAGGAAAGATAATGTAATTTCACAGTGTTTACTCAACTCTGCCTCTTAAAATCATTGCTAAAGAAATAACATAAAGTCTTGCTTTTACTTTCAGCAGAGCAGAAAGTATGTTCCTTGAATTTGCCATGGGAAATACAGTGGTACCTTGGGTCACGAACAAAAATTTCATTAAAAGTTTGACTTGGGTCACGAACTCCACTTTGGGTGCTGGCCAAGATCACAGCCATCTCTCCACCCGCCCGAGTGGGGAGGTGGCCACGATCGCAGTCGTGTTCATGCAGGGAACACGTGCATGATCACGGCTGTGCTGCGCCCGTCTTTCCCACAGGAGTGCGTCCGTGATCACGCACGTCTTCCCTGCATGAATGCAGCTGCGATCGTGGCCATCTCCCCACTCGAGGGGGTGGGGAGATGACCGTGATCATGCTGGTTGTGGGGGGGGGCAGATGGCCGAGATTGCCACCGTCTTTCCTGCAGGAGCGCACCCATGCCAGGGTTTCTTTGAGAAGCACCACCCCAACATAAATGTAACGAACAGAGCGTTGAATCTGATGAACAACAACATGGTCTCTCATTTCCAGAGGGTTATGCAACGCAGGAAAAAACAAGTGACTATAGACAGATTTTTCACCAAAACTGACCCCGCAGCTAAGAGACAAAGGAGAGAGGAAACCCCTGAAAGAGATCTCCCCAGTGTCCTTATGGAGGGGGACTCTCCCTCAAAACAATAACCTCCCCCCACATGTAGGTTAGTCTTCTCCACTGTACTTTGTTACTTTGTTGTTGTCACTTTGTTTCAAATTTTTCTGATTAAGAAAAATAGCTGCAGAATGGATTAGCCTTATTTACACTGAACCTTGAGGGGAAATTTGACTCGGCTCATGACCAATATGGGCCGCAACCAGAGTCGTGGAACGGATTAAGTTCATGAGCCAAGGTACCACTGAACCACAGGCAATTTTGCATGATAAAAATTTAAACTTTGTTACAAGACTTTTTCAGCCAAACACTCACAGTGTGAATGCACTTCGACCAAATCTCATTTGTAAAAAATCCAGCTGGGAGCAATGCACACACAATACATGCTGCCCTCAGAATGGTTCAGATAAACAGGCTTTCAATGAACGGCAAACCAACTGCTATTGTACGAATATTAATATTACAAAAAGTGTGATTATCTTACCTTTTCTTTAACAACATCACTATTCCCCAATGGTCTGTTTATATCTTTTAGAAAAATAACTTCGTTTTCATGTAAACTGCACAGGTGTAGTGATTTCAGAAGATCTGGGAGCTCTGAGGACATGGCTGCCAATTCCTAAACCAAATACGGTACGCATAAGAACAACACATCCATGCTACACGAGGCTTAATGGACTTATGGGCAAACTAAACTTAGTGGTTCTTAACTCCTTTTCCCACAGTACCAAATCCCATTTTATTTTATTTTATTTAAAAGGAATTAGGATGCAAGGGAAATTTTCCTGGGGATGAAAAGCAATACTGCACAACATTTAAAAAACAACGAAAGGGGCGCTTTAAGTCCTAAAAGGCACCTAAACACATTTTTGGCCTTTAAAACCATAAACTGAGAATTACACCAGTTTGAGTGGCAAGGTGCCTTCTTTCTCAGCTACTGTATCACTAATGTCAAAACTCCAGACCCTGTGGAAAGAGTCCTCAACACAGCTCTTCCTATACAAGCCAGCTTCCCCGCTACTCACACGGTGCTACAGTATGTTCTCTGCACAGCCTCGCTTTGAGGTCCTTGAGGCCGAACATGCATTTTCCTCAGTCCCTTCTGATGCACAGTCTCCCTGTATGAGGTGTTTTAGATTTCAAGTCTGAAACAGGGGTTGTCTGGATAGTAAGAGCAACACAGGAGACAGCCTTACGCTGAGACTGAATCGTGGATCCATTGCGCTTAGTTAGGGTCGTTAGCACTGACCGGCAGCAGCTCTCCGTAGCTTTGGAGGACTTCCTTCCTGGGGATGCCAGGGACTGAACCCTGCATGAGCGTCACCGGGAGCCTTTCTGGCCACAGAAGGGTGAGCGCGCTTTAACAAGACTAACTTAAAAATTCCGCAAGCTGCGAATCCATAGGAGGTTTTCATCATAGTACAAAGCCACGTACTACCAACGTGACCCTGCCAGCCGTGCGTGCAACCTGCACCCAAGTCCTGTTCTGGCCAGGTAATCATAAAGTCCAGGTGCAGGTGACACAGGGACTGCTAAGCGCAATTTGAGAGCTCGGGTTTAAAGCAAGGGCTGCTAACTGGCATTCAGGAATACCTTTACTCGGGACTTGTAAGGGCAGCTGGGGGAAGCTTGGCAGCGATGCTACAGAAAGAGACTGGGGAGGGAGGGGCGAAACCGGAGCCACTGGGCTAACAGCTACCCAGCAGGACTTATCCCGGCACGTATGTAGTAGCCGCGCCGTGACTATTTTATCTCCAAGTGTCACACGACTCAGTGTGCTACCAAAACCCAATCGCTGGCTCTGTGCAAGGGCAACTGGGGGAGCCATGGAAGCGCTGCTGTGCTGGCAGGAAGGCAGGCTGCTGCCGGAGACCACCCGGAAACAGCATCCGGTGCCACAGCCCTCTCGGATGAGGATGACGGCAGGGCTTTCTTGCGGAGCGGTAGCCCAGGCAGACTGTGGATCCTCAGCATCCCAAGCCCCTTCCTCCGAATGCCAAAAGCAGCCTGTCCTGGCCCCGGCAAACCCCCTTCTCTGTGTGGCCAATGGAAGAGGGCAACGGCTGACCCCTCCCTTGGGCAGGCTGGCAAGAGTCTAGATGTGGCAGAGCTTCTCTCTCCCATGAGCTCGCTCAGCAAGTCAGCTACCCATTTTGGCTGTGTTCTCAATCTTCTCCTTAGGCAAGGATATTACGACTTACATAAATCAAAAACAGATCAGTGGACAAAAACAAAGATTTGGTCGATCAAAAGCTCTTAGGCAGAGACTGTACCTTAGCGGCAAGGGTTGTCTCATCGGCTAAGCACAGAAACGTGACCTGGAACAGAGGACAAAAAGAGAGAGCAGGACTATATCAAAGCTTTAAGGACTCCGAGCACTTGGCTAGACAGCTTTCCTGTCGACACATTTTTGAAGCACGGGGACGGGATAACTATCACCTAGATACTTTATGGTTATCCTTTGGCCCCAGGGTTTTCGAAACATGGGCTATTTCTCTTCTTTATACTCAGCTGGGCTGCAGACAGGAGCAGCCACCAGTATCCTTCAAAGAGACAGTGGCTGGGAACCTTAATGCTTATCCGAGAAAACTGAATAGGGAAGAACCAGGCAAGGCAACCACGACTTAAGCAACAATGCAATTCTGGAAAATTCTTCTGCACCCCATTGGATCATTTTGCTTATTATTAGAACAATTCAGCAATAGGTTACATTTCCTTTCAAAGGCAATACATAATCAGCCTTCTGGTTATGTGGCTACAAATGAAAAGCATGTATTATCGTGGCAACCCAATTTCAAACCTCATGGAAATTGCCATTTTCTTCCTTTGGCTCTTCTGCTGACACGGAGCACAATTCCTTCTGGCTCTGCAACAGTGCCTTCATCGGAGGCAGTGCACAGTCAGTAAAGTTCTGGAAAAGAGCATATTTAACTCAATAGGAAATGAAAACATTTCTATAAACAGCTTCATGTCACCTCAATATTTTATCCAGGATGGGTCTGCCAACAGCAGCATCGGAGTTTTTTATACTGTCACCAAATTCAAGTATTTCCTCAGGTACCTAGATGCATAAATGCGCTTTCTCTTGTCCAGTCAATGGTGGGATATAAAAGTAATAATGAATAAATTTGGACTGTGCCCCCAACTGTTGTTGGAAGGGGTGAGAATGAAACTCTTTTCCTTTTTGTGTGTGCACAGTTGAGCACTGACAACAGCTTGCCTTACTTCCAAAATGACAAACTTTGGCCAAACTAGAATGAAAAACCAACTTCGAGCTATCATTTCTCATTCTGGTTTGGATGAAAAGCATCAAGTTGGTAACTTGTTCTTCTAGAAAGACAGTGAAGAAGCTAAATAATAAAGAAGCCTTGGAGATCAGCCCCTGAGGATTGTCGCCTTCCCCACACCCTGGGCCTCACACTATCAGCTTTACTAAGAGACTTTGCCAAACCCTATTTATGGATCTTTTAGGTAAAGTATTAACCATCTGTTCAATGCAGGTGGCTGTGACATGTAGAAATAAAGCAAAACAAATATCGAGAGCAACTACTTTCATGGAAAGAAGACTGTGTGAGGAATTTTTCTCCAGGAACAGTAGGAATATCCATGTTATACAGGAAATTTCGATTAAAAGGAAAAACCATAGAAAAATGCATTCACAGAATAACAGAGCTGGAAGGGGGGTGTAAGATCATCAAGTCTAACCCCCACTCAATGAAGGACTCCAGTGAAAGAATTCCTGATAGACAGCTGCTCAACTGCTTCTTGAATGCCCCTAGTGTAGGAGAGCCCACCAACTCCCTAGGTCATGGGAGTCATTGCCATACTGCTCCAACAGTCGGGAAGTCCTTCCTGATGTTCAGCCAGAGCCTGGCTTGCTGCGACTTGAGCCTGTTACTCTGTGTCCTGCACTCTGGGATGATCAAGAGACCTATCACTATTTTCTAGTGCAGAACTGCCTACCATCCAAGCTTCTTTTAAGTATTTCAAATTGTCAATATTCCAACCTAACACTTTTTTAAGGGCAGGCCTTCACAAGCTGTGACCCACCAAACCTAATACAGCTGTAAATGTTGCTGAAATATCTTTGCCCAAGAAATAATAATCATAATAAAAACTCGCATCCTGGCTCTAGAAGAGTACAACTTGGATTTTATCAACTGCAAGTCAATGAGATGTCCAAAGCCATGTTTTTAAAGAGTCGGGATACCTTTTTCCTTGATATTTTAGACTTCCTTTGACTGCTTCGAACCCCAATAGGGCCATCCATTGTTTAGTGTTTGTTTCCAATGAAGAATTCAATATTTTCTAAAGAACAAGGAGAGAGAGAAAATAATGTATCTTCTACTAAATCAACTTTTAATCATTTTGTCAGAAGAGTGAAAGCAGGTGAGTTAAAGAGTTACAGAAAGTAAAATATAAATGATACCCATTACCATTAACAAATAGCCAGGCTTACTGGACCGTGAGTCTCACTATGGAGTGAGAGGTTCAATAGCTCCTCGGAAGAGTTGGCCACCCCAAGATCGCTGCTTATGCTCTAAGGGGGTGTACATGTTGTAAAAAAGGAAAAAGAGGTTGCTGTTATCAGCAACTGAGAAACGTCTCTTAGTTGTGACTGCATTTGAGACAGCCCCGAAAGGAACACACCTTCTGTTCCCTCAGAGAAGCTCTCTCTCACCATTCAAGGGGAGAGAACCCTCTTCTTCCTCTTGTGTACACAGGTCTTGGGGAAAGGGACTCTCCTCGATTCCTGCCCAGCTGGGAATGGCTCAGAAGCAAAGAGGTTCTTTCATTGGGCTCTTCTGACACCTCCAAAATGCAGCATCCTTCTCATGAGTTCCAGAGAACCAGGAGGAAGGGCTGCCTTCTCCTCTGCGTCAAGGTTTGGACAAGTTAAGGAGTCTAAAACACAAAGAAAATGGTTTCTCCCGAGTCTTCCAGAGTTCACATACTTTGCCACCTTTCTTCAAGTGAGGCAGAAAAACCAGGAAGGGTTTTTACCAAATGTCCACTGCAAAATAAAAGGCAGACCCACGGAAAAATGACAAATGCTGACTGGTCCAAATTTGCAGATCCCTACAAGCAGCTAACTTTTTGTTCATTAACAATCAAGAGAGGAACCAATGAAGCTCACAGGTATGGCTTTATTGCTTTTCTTTTTTTCATTCTGAAATGTACTAGCAGCAGCAAAATACAGCCAAACAGAATTGGTGTTAGCTAGCTCAAGGGACGGCAAATATTTCTCATCCTTGAGTAAGCAATTCTCATGCGTCTTACACTCATACACAGTGTGGATGTTCTTACGTGGGTTTGGTCACCCACGAAATGTTCCAGTGCCTTCATGGCTGCCCTTCCAAGTCTCAGTCTTCTTGGAATTTCTTGGCTGCAGTCTTGTTCTGAATGGATGACTGTGCCAAGGTACTTAAAATCTTTCACAATGTCAATAGGCTAACGATCATCCTCTTGAAAAAGAGAGGGTGTATTTTCACAAATAAAGCTTTAAAAATAAGTTGTAAATACCATGATCTTGGACTACAAGTCTGTCTACAGCTCTGTAGACTCTGACCTTCCCCTTCAACAAAATGGACGCGGGAGCTTCATCTCACTATAACTCTTTAGGACAGGCTAATGTTGATCAATATTCTTCCTCAGCTGAAGGAAGCCTGGGGCAGGGGACGCTTCAGAATATAGTAGGCCCTTTGGTTTAAGCATGTTTTCCCCGCCCCAGGCATTGCTGAATACACATTCACATCCATGTGGAATGTGGATACACATTCCAGTATCCTGCTCACGTAGTGGTGACAACCTGTAAGAAGAGAAACATGACCATCCTATGGACAAAAGTGTGAGCTGTACGTCAGAATTCTCCCAGGCTGGACAAAGGTCAACACTGAAAACAGAGCTGTGAATTACCAGCTGCCCTCTCCATTTCCACACTTCCACGCTGCAAAGGCTCCAAGCAAAACTTACAGAATGTTTCCTACAGTCAAAACACCTTAAGCATGCTTTAATCCTACACTATCAGCAGCATGCACTGTTGTGGGCTTTAAAAAATCTACTGATAAAATAAACACGGGGACTTTAAAAACAAATAGAAACGTATTGCTCAGATTAAGCAATGCTGACACTGAACACAGTAAGAAATCTAAGCAGACACATGAAAAAGATGCAAGGTTGATATGAAGGTGGACTGGAAGATCCCAGACCCCAATGGATCAAATACATGCAACTTGCACATAGTCCACATGTGTAATGCACCCACCAATGACCTATGCGTGCCTGTTAAGTTCCAAATCAGTTGAGTTAAAGAGTACAGTAAAAAAGCTATAGGAATTGTTCGCTTGTGAACAAACTGAAATATTAAATATTGGAAACTGCCTTTAGGGATGGCAAAGTAGACAATTCCCTTTGGGAAAAGTGCTTTACTTCTAGTGAAACCGATGTGAAACCGTAAGTGCAAGAACAAGGAAACAGGCTTTGAAATGCACTATCAGTGGCTCGATCAAGGCACAGAAGAGCTTCAGAGAAGTTTCAAATACACATTGGAGGGGGTGTCAAAGTTTAAACTACATAATGAAATTATTTTACACTCACTACTAGCAGCAGGAGCACAAACCGCAGCTTTTCCAGTGGAAAAATTCAAGAGGCTTTTGAAGATTCACAAACCATCTGAAGGTTTGTTTAAGGTCATGTAAAACCTAAAACATTTAGGTAACAAGGTATCCACGGTACTTATTTCTTCAAATCATTCATCCTAGACCCTTCAGATCATAAGATTTTGCTGGCCTAAGGTAACATAATTTCACCTTGAACCTCTTGCAATTCTGCCTCCTACTAAACTGGCTGCACTTGTTTTCTTTAGCCATAGAAAAGAGGTAAAAAAAAGCATAAACTTAAAAACATTATGTTTCCTCTTCAATGTTGCACGTGAGTGAGAGAGAAGCTACAAAGTTTGACGAACGCCACAAATTTTCAGCAGTTTAGCGACCCACTTATTTGACTCACAGCACCCTAATTAAAGCAAAGCATAATTAAAGCATAGTAAGCCAAAGACAGCATGTGCTGCCCAAGTTAAAGAACTTGCAGAGACCTTCTACCAGACTTGTGCAGGCCAGAGCTGGTAGAGGTTGTGATGCACATCACTACATTTTCTTTGAATGAACAGAACAAACAAGTGCAGAAGCTGATTTTTACGCGAAGATCCAGTGACACCAAGGCATAAGCAATGTCTGCAATACGCATACCGGACACTGCATAAACGGGGACGGTTTCCTTCACTTCCCTGTTACTGAATGTATCTTTATTCGGCATCTGACAATTTTCAGCCCTGCTCATCTGGATCTGAGTCCAATAGCTTGCTACATTCAAGAATTACGAATAACCCTGTGCTTTTATTTTCATACGACTCAGCAAACCTACTCCGTTCAGGCTTTAGAAATTAACTGGTCAAATACTGACAATGTAAGTTAACCATTTCTACAACAGTAACTTTTACAAATCAACAAATAGCCACTTTAATTATCAGTGGATCCAATCCTACTGCTGTTAACAAAGCAACGCTGCAATTCTACACTCACCTGGCTATATATTCATTGGAAGCAGTGTAAGAGATTGAAAAGTATCCAAATCCAAGGAAAGCAGTTCGCAAGAACTTTACAGTGGACAGATCTAATTCAAGGGCGCACAGGTTTCTGCGACTTCTTGTTTTCCCCGTGGGAAATACCCAACTGTGCAAAAAGTCCTGCTTTACCTTAAGATTTGCCCCAAAAACTGTTAGACTAGCAAGCAAGTGGACTTTCCCGCTGGTCCTGCTAACAAGTGATCCACACTGAAATTAAAAGGCACAGGCTAACTGCACAGTGGCATTCTTCGCTTCATGAACTCTTGGGCAATAACTGACTGCTGCTAAATAATAGTTAGTCGAACTGACAGCACTTGACAGGTGCGTCAGTCCTAGTCTGTCTTATTACAAACTTATGGAAGGAATATAATTTAGCTGTTTCCGTTCTCCTAATATGTTAAAAATACAAATTTGCTCCATGAAGCCCTCTTCTCACATTTCCAAGAGCGACAAAATTAGTCTAGCTATTTATGTTTACTTCCTGAATGAATATGAGCAACATGAATAGTATTACTGCATGCCAAAAAAAATCCATTCCCCTGCCAAGTCGCCGCTGCTGCTGGCAAACAAGAGGCAACTGCTCGCTCTAAGGCAACTTTTCATCTTTACCATCTGGGAACGCAGACACCTGAAAGGAACAATCAATGACAACTGGAATGGAATGATGATCACCATTTGGCGATGGAACCAAGGTAACAAGCTGTGTCTGCAGCTCAGGTGCAGCCAAAATGGTGCCTGCATCCACAGGATTTCTAAAGATCCCTCTATGCTGTATACACTACGCCTTTGCCTCTGTGGATCAGAAGAAGCTGTGGACGAAAAGGAAAAAGAACAGGAGCCAAGCAAAAGTCCCTTTATCTCCCCATCTGTCCAACCTGTAAACAGATTAGGATCAGAGGGACCAGCAGTGAAAGTTGCCGGAAGATGCTTTTAAGATAATTTAAGATATGCAGATGATACTGCATGACTGGCAGAGAGTGGCAGCAAATTGAATTAACTCCTAATAAAAAATGAAGTGCAAAAGTGGACTGCAGCTGAACATTAAGAAAACAAGAATCATGACTACAGAAGAATGACAAAACTTTACTGGTAGCAATGAAGAAATTGAAATTATGAAGTATTACGCAGACTTTGGCTCAATTACCAATTCAAAGGGAGTCTGCACTCAAGATGATGACTAAAACTTGAAAGGGCAGCAATGAAGCAACCAAAAAAAAAAAAAAAAATCATTAAGCACAAGGATGTTTCACTTGAGACCAAGGTCATCCACATGATTGTACTTCCGATCACTCTGCATGGGTGCGAAAGTGGACAGTGAACAAAGATGCACAATGGAGAAATTGTGAGTTCCAAAGATGGACTGGAGGATTGCTTTAGAATACCCTGAACTGAGAGACAAACAAGATGCGTGGGGCAGGAAGGCATGCACTGGAGTCCTTCCCCCCTGAGGTGATATTTTCTGCAGTGTTTTTTTTTAATTTGTAGGCTTTATGGCAGCTCGTTCATACATGCCAGTTGTTCACAACTTGGAAATGTGTAACTCAGGGACTGCTTGTATTTGAAAAGTGCTATTTTATCTCTCCCTATTCTTCTCTTCAGGCTAAACATGACCAGTTCTTTCCATCTCTTCTCACAGGGCTGTCTTCAGTCCCCAGATCATCCTTGCAACCCTTCTCTGAACCCTTCCCAGCTTGTCTGCATCTTTCTTAAATTGTGGTGCCCAGAACTGGACAAAAAACTCCAGGTGAGGCCTAACCAGTGCTGAGTAAAGGGGAACTAGTACTCCACATGATTTGGAAGAGACCCTTCTATTAATGCAGCCTCAAATAGTATTTCAAGAAATGGAGATTTGTTCTTCCAACGATTTCCATCCTGATTCCTCAGATCAAGCTTTCCTTTTGATATGTTCTGCATACAGATTGAACAGAAAGAGATAAGACATGCTCTTGTCTAATGCCTTTGCCTACAGGATACTGCTCTGTTTCTCCATATTTTGTCCTAACAGCAGCTTCGTATCCACAGTACAGTTCACTCATTGGTATGGACAATGCCTGTTTCTTTCAGAATCACCCACAGCTTCTTGTGATCATGGCAAAGGCTTTGCTGTAGAGTGATCAATACAGAGTGACCTTCTATATTCATGGATGCACTCCCTTAACCAAAGCGCACTTGTGATAGGATCCCAAGTGGCTCTTTCTTTTTTATGGCAGGCACTGCTTGCTCCTATAGGGTAGATCCGTTGTTGCAATAGCCTGAACATCCCTTTGCTTACATGGGATATTAGTGCAATGGTATTACAGTTGCTGCACCCCTTCACATCTCCTTTCTTGGGGACGGGAACATATACTGAACATTTCCAGTCCATGGGTCGTTTTGTTTTGTTTTTGCATTTGCTGACACATTCTTTTTAGGATTTGGGCTGATTCAGTCTCTTGGAATAGTTCTATCAATTCCTTAATAGATATAACACAAATGAAAGTGAGAAGTATCCAAGCTAAAGTTCATTATTTGCTGACTATTCCCAGGAAGAAATTTTGTATCTATTTTGTTCATACACATAGCTTTTCAGGTATCAATATTAACAGTTTTTCATGTCTTTGTTTTTCTTAAAAGGAAAGCAACATACAGGAAGTTAAGGCCATAGACTTGGCATGTCTTAAATCCTTACTAATAATGTAATAATAATATTTTCCAATAAGAATGTGAATATATTTACACTATTTGCATTTTATTGTGCAATCCTATGCTTTCTGAAAGGCTGTAGGGTCCAGACTCTGCTACTGAGGCCGAAAAGATCCATCCTTCTTCCAGCTGTTGCAGAAACTTGGCAGCTGGTACTTCTCTGGTGTAAAAAAGGGAAAGAAGGTGTTTTGGAAGGGTGCTTGGAGAGTCATTGGATCCACAGGACTGGCAGTTCCCCTGGTCCCTAGAAATATCCATAAAACACCATCCAATCTATGTCAGCCCTGGAACCCATTAAGATTAATCCCTTCCCGTTCAATGAATTGCAAAAAATGAAAGTAATTTGTTAAAGGCGGGAAAGGGGAGGAGGAAGCTAAATTGTTGCTTCTTGTCTCTTTAGATAAGGCAGTTCGCCAAGCTGTTTTTTCCACTGCTCCATTAATTGTTTTGATATTTTCTGCTTGGATAAATAGCTCAGGATTTTTTTTAATAATTGAAGGCAGAACAAAATTATATTCAATAGATGTTAACTATACCAAGTGAACTGTATTCATTTTTTCCTAATTAATGAAGATCAGCTACTTTGGGCTGTTATAAAAATGACTAAAATACAGGTTATCAAAATTCTTCCGAGAAAACTTTCTGGTTTGGTTTTGTTTCTTTTAAAGAAGAATACACATCTTTGATTATATCGAATGTGTTTATTACATTTCTATTCTGCCTTTTTTCCTTCCAAGGAACTCAGGGCGGCTTACATGGTTCTCCTCCTCTTTTCAATCTTATCCCCACAAGAATAACCCTGTGAGGCAGGCTGGGCTGAGGGTCTGTGAGTGCCCCGAAGTCACCCAGCTGGCCCCGAGGCCAAACGGGAACTACAACTCGGCTCTCCCGAGTCCCTGCCCCACACTCAGAACCACTGCCCCCACTGGCTAAGAAAAGCATTCACCATCTGGAAGCGCTATCAGCATTACACCTTTGCACTCAAGGCAATTAAAATTTATTTAGAGCATGCTCCTACAGGACTGACACTTGTTGGACAAAGGTTTTCATCTATCATTCATACCAACCCGAACCAGGCAGGGCGAGAAGCGGTGGAAGCTGTTATAGCCTCTCCATCCTACTTTGCTGTAATGAAGAGGGGGTTGTTGAGCAAGTCCAGTGCGCAATCCTGGTCAAGGGCATGGATGCAGGCCGAGCGATCCAGTCTTCCAGTCTCTGCTCTCCCCTTCCTGACCAATGGCATGTCCCTTCCATCTTCCCCATCATTATGATAGCTATTCCCTGATTTTTAATATTCAGACATCAGTTCAGGAGAAATTTAAGATGTACCATGGCAACACTATCTGAATCTATAAGAAAGAAGGTTCTATATGGGCTATTTTTCAGGACTTGCAAAGGAAAGGCACTACAATCTCTGCCAGGAAGTTATTTCTGCCTGTAAAGGCATCAGATAAGGAACTGTAAGCTGGAAAGTTACCATCACAACATTTCATTCATCAAGAAAGACAGACAGAAAGACAGATGGCAGTGACTGGTAGAGGAGAAACTGGGTGTAGGGCATTTTATTTTCACTTTCATTAGCACATCCATTTAGCAGATGAGATGTCAAACTTAAATAAATGAGCAAACAGCATGAAAAACAAACCAGAAAGGGGTAAATTCAGAGCTTACTTCCTGCCTTCTTAAAGTTCTATCAGCATAGGATGTGGATGTTATGAAGCACTTATTTTTTTATTGGTCCCTTCCCATCCACCTTGCCCAAAAACATTTACCAAGCAGCATGGCAGATATTGAAAAAGAATGCATTTATTAGAACAACAAAATAAAGAAAATAATGATAACATTCCAGAGACTTTCCCAGGAACTCTACCCAGTATAACAGCAAATTGTGTTGAAGTTCTCACGCCTGGTGGGCACTTAATTTCTAGGGACTTATTTCATAGTTCCAAGGCAGTTATACCCTATGTAGGATTGCCCATTCCCCACATTACAAAAATTCTGGCACTTAGGTCTGAATGTATCTTTGCATACTCAGAACTCCTTTCCTATGAGAAAAAGCTGGTGTGGTGGTCGGAGGGTTGGACCAGGGGCCCAGGATATCCAGGTTCTAATCTCCATTCAGTCATGAAGCTCACTGGGTAGCTTTGGGCCAGTCATTCCCTCTCAGCCCAACCTACCTCACAGGGTTGTTGTTGTGAGAATGAAAATGGAGCTATGGAAGCTGCCCAGGGTTCTTCGCAGGAAGGGAAAAAAAGCAGAATATAAATGCAATGTGGTGGTGGTGGTGGTGGATTTTTAAAAGGCTCAAAAACCAAAGTATCTTGAGCTTAACCAGAGTTCCTTTCCTATGTGAAGTGCAGCTTTCTAGGCCATTCAAAGGCTGTGGCAATTGGTGCCGTATACCTTGCCATCAACCTGCCTATCTAGAGCGACCATGATTCCATTGTCTGAGGCCAAGGCCAGAAAATAAAAACAAAGTGCAATCTCACTGAGCACAGACCTGCAGACCACTTTATGGTGACTTGATCAGGAACAGAGTTGTATAAAAAGCAGACCATGAACAGATGTATCAAAACACGCACAGGCACTCATGGGCACCACAGTACAAATGCCGTCACCATCCTTGTGAAGAATCCCAGATAGGTAGCAACTCCAGGGCTATGCCACTGCAATGAGCATTGCCTATTTAAAACTCACAGCTTTCTCCCATACACCTTCTCACTGCTGTTCACAATTAACCAAACAGGCACCGGAAGAAGCCAAACCACTCGTTCTATTGCACTCTGCTTAGGCTCTTTCACTTTGTTAATACACAACTTCCAGGACTGAGCCCTGACAGCCCTAAACAGTTTCCAAACCTGAGACCCAGGCCTTACAAGGCAATCGAGCATGATTAAAAATAAGTACATTCTTTCCCAGCAGCGACTGACACAGAAAGATGCTACCTTTCCCTTGCTTTCATTCTGTGTCTAAACTAAGATGCTGTTTATAAATGAGTAAGGAGCATCGCTGTGGATTTGCCACTTTGGGCACCACCATCTCTTAGCAAACCATGCTTGTCCTTTCCTGTTCACTTCCTGAGGATCATGCCATTTGCCATGGGCTGTCTGAAATTTTAACTTCTACGTGTCTATTAAAAACAGGGGAGCTGCATCCCTCTTTACATCTAGCCTAACCATAAAGATAAGCTAAGTTTAAAAGCATAATCCACACAAGAGACTGGAAGAGCGGGTGACCAGCATCTGCCAGTCAAGAAATCTCAGCTGAGCCGGGGAGGGGTCCCCATTTGACTGTCCCTGTCCTACTGTGACCCCCCAGAAGTTCAGACAGTGATAATCTTTGGGAAAAGGCTAAGCACAGCGCGGCTAATCAAAGCCATCCCCTCAGGCTGCCTCGGAAAAGCTGCCTTCAAGCATCCATGAATGGTGCGAAACTTCTGCCCCCCGCCCCAAACCCTCCCATTTGTGGTCCAGCACAGCGAGCCGGCCTTGCACGGCGGGGCCCGGGGGGAAGGTGCAGGAGGAGGGCTGGAGGCCGACCGGCCAAGGCACCGGCCACGCCGTTACGCCGCCCACCCAGCGGCCTGGGGACGCCCCTGCACGCCTCCCCCGCCCCCCGGCCTACCTCGCAGGGCTGCTGTCCCACCCTCCCGAAGCCACCCGCCGCGCGCACCGTCGCCATCCGCGGGGGCCTGGGCAGGCCAGGGCCGCGACGCGAGGCCAGGGAGGGGCCGGGGACCCGCAGGCGCAGGCCTGCCCCCCGGCAGCCCCCCGCGCCGCTCGTCGCCTCACCGGCGCTCCGCCCGCCCTCGCCGCTTGCCTGGCTCCGGCCCCAGCGGGCCCCGCGGGCCGGCCGCCGGCGAG